TTTTTGTTTTACTCCTTCTAATCCATGACTGATATTATAATTCGAGAAATACTGCAAACGTTTGACTTTCTCGTAAGACTCTGAACAAATACTAATATTTAAAAATTTTATTTTTTCAAAAATTTGTCCGGTATTAAAGTATAATTTAAACCTCACTATTAGATAAATAAGGACTTCAACTATTAGAAAAAAATTTAATTTACTCATAATCTAATATTTTTTATTTTACATTGGCGGCGAAAGGACCTCCTTAAACGTGGTTAAGGTTATATTGTGCAAATGAAAATGTAAACAATCGAAGTACAGCGTTGCCAAATCACGGACAGATTACTTGCAGCTGTTTTGAAAGAGTCAAATTAATTTTTGTATTTAACTATTTTTTTTTTTTTATTTTCAAAATTTCAACGATTAATGCCTCATATACTATTTATTATTTAATTTTAGGAATTTTTATGGGCTTCTTTTTTTAATTTATCGTATATTGACTACTACAATTGTTTTGACTCAACTGGAGCGAAAGGATTTCCTTAAATACAAAGAAATATTTTTTGAATACTAAGAAATGATGTTTAAGAAATGATTTCTTAAATACAAAGAAATCTTCTTAAATGTTAAGAAATCCTTCTATCAGTGAAGTTTTATTACAAAAAAACACTTTTTTCGATTTTTTTCGACAACGATATCTCACGAACGCATCAACCGATTCTATCGTTTTTGGTGGCGATCGATGGGGGTTTTCAAGGTTAAGAGCTGATTAGTTTTTGAGACCAATTGGTTCAGCCAATTCGGAGATATTTAAAAAAAATAAAAAAAAAAAACAACAACTTTTTTTTTCACTTTTTTTGCATTTTCTCGAAATCTACCGGTCCGAATCGGTTCAAATTTTCAGGAAATCGTAAGTTTAGTGAAGCCCTTTCGAATGACACCAACGGCGATGAAATCGGTCTGGAATGAAAACAATAACTTCCCGATTTTTAAAAATCTAAGATTTTTAGCGGGAAGTTAAAAATAAACTCTGTTTTATCAAAGTAAATAGACGTAATTTACTCACCGATTAATACACTCTGCATCCGCGATAAAAACTCGCCGTCTTATCGGCATAGCTTGACAACTCTCGTATTTATTATCAATAGTACGCACAAAGTTAACCAACCATTTGTCATGATAATTAATTATCACCGGTTTTAATTTTACCGATTCATTCGAATCAAATTCATCTTCATTAAGATCACTGCTAAAACTTTTGTTTAAAAATATTGACAAAACAATAAATAATTTAATTTCCATGATATTTTTTTTTTTAAAAGATAATTTACTTTTTTTTCTAACAGTTAATCTAACTGTAGCAATAGTAGAAAGAATACTATACCTACTATACTAGTTTCTGACTTAATTTTATACACTATTGAAAAACATAGATGGTATATGGGGGAAAATCCGTAGCATATACTATAGGAAACGCGGTCAGAAAATTCAAAGTAACGCGTAGCCGGTGAGTAATATCCCAGTAAAAATATTTAAAACTAAAAAATCAACAAAAATATCTCAAGGCCCTCTTTCTTTACTATTTTTCTAGGTTCTCAAAGTCTATAGAGTATCTTGCTTTCTACTGTTTATTCATTTCCGTCATGATTTTCCGAAAGAAGAGCACCTTCGAAAAAGAACAGTGGTGGGCGCTCCAGGGGCAAAGCCACAGCAGGTGTTGGAGAGCAAAGCCTCTTACTTTTAAATAAAAGGTTTTAGAAAAGTTTAAAGTTTGTTTTATATTAGTTATATATGATGTTGCTTTTAAATTTTTAATGAAATATTATTTGCCTTTTTATAAAATCTTTTATCTTATGACAGCTCTTATTAAGCTATCTAATGACAGATAGTTTAACAGTTTTAGACGGTGTAATGATAAAAAATTTATTTTGAAAAAAATAAGCAATGTAATAAAAAATTTATTTGTTGAAAATTTTATTTCTTAGCTGAAGAAATAAAAATTTTTCTTATAGTAATTTTCTGGTTCAAAAAGTTTTATAAATTTGGGAAAAAACAATTTACGATGAAAATATCCAAGTTGTCGATCTAAAATTCTTTTTTTTTTTTTTCTAAATTAAAACACTTTTTTCAAAAAAAAAAAAGTTGCAGTGAAGAAAGTATTCATCTCTTCAACAAAAAAATAAAATTTTAAACAAATTAAATCGTGTTACTAAATTCAAAAGGGCGTATCTCAAAATATACGCCCTTTTGGCTTTGCAGAACCACAAGGGCGTATGAAAAAAATTTTTTTTTCTCCAATCAACTAGGGGGAATGTATAAAAGTAAAAATCTTGTTGAAAAAAGCAAAAAAAAATTTTTTTTTGACACACGCCCTTTTGACTTTCAGAAAAAAAAATTTTTTGAAGTCATATATTGCGTTACAGATGCCATAAGGGCGTATAAAAATTATACGCCCTTATGGCTTCCGGGAACTATAAGGGCGTATAAAATTTTTTTTTTTACATTTCTGCACATTTCGGACGAAAATACGTCGATTCCCGAAAAAAATTTTTTATAGGCCCTTACGGCTTTTCACCGGTATTTTTTGCTGGTATACGCCAAAAGTGAGACTGAAAACACTAACACATCTCAATTTTTTGTATTTTGTGAAAATTCACTGAAAAAAATTAAAATAAAATTTTTAACTTCTCCTAACATTTCGGTCAAAGTGCTACAAGTTTTTTGTGGATAAAGACATTATATAATTATCATTGCATTATTGTTTGAATTACTAATTATTTATATTTAAACTTATATTTTTTTATCTCTTCTGTTTTATGATCTAGAGTCATTAAATTAATTACTTTGATGGACTTTGCTTCGAGACAACATTAGTTATTTATTTTTACTTCATTATTATCATTTCCATTACTGTTTATAATTTTATTATTATTATGTACTTATTATTTATATGTAAGGCCCTTAGGGAGCTAAGGCTTCAGGGTCTAAAAAATTTTGATAAATAAATAAATAACATAAATTGACAATTTCAAAAAATTCAGCTGTGATAGTATTTTCAGTTCAATTTTCAAAAATCATTTTTTTTATACGCTCTTCTGTTCTCTTCTACTGCAAAATCAAAAGGGCTTATATTTTGAGATACCTTTGATTTAGTAACGTGATATCTTGATATTAAAAAAAACGCCCGATCACTCTTGATGTTCTTGATCAAAAATCAACTTAAAAAAAAATTAGTATCATAAAAAATAAAAATATCCACCTTCTTAATTTTACATTTGGTTGTTTAGTGTTTAAAATCTTTGAATATTCCTACGCGGAAATAAAAAATTGCACTTTTTTCACTATTAGTACAGTACTCAATAGCGTTTGGAATAAAATAAGATCAAAATGATTACTAAGTCGTGCATTGATGGCACTAATTGGTAGTGTCACACAGCACTCTATTGTCTATGAATATTTTTCTAAAACACTACTAAGTACTGTACGAAACATTAATCATTGTTTTTCTTCTCCGTGTAACTTGGAACTGATATAAGTTTATTAACAGGTCCAGCTGATGGGACTCGTGTTAAGCCAGGTGATGACTAAAGACTGTAATATTCCGACTTGACTTTTCCGTCCTCAGAAATCACGCCGAGTTTGTTTCTACGAATTATTTGTAATAAACTGTCTTTCGAAGATAACGACAAACTACGTCTTTATAATGGAATTATAGAACAATAACAATGATATTGTTTCCAGATTACGTCAAAGGACAAAACGACATGCTATTGACAACCCATAAATGAGCCCTAAACTCGTGGAGAGATTGGGATATATAAAAAATGATATCATGGGAAATGATATACAAAATCACAAGTAGGTCCAAAATTTATATTAATGTTAATTTATTATTTAATTTCTTGTTTACATCACTTTAAGGTAATTAAAAATATTTGATTATTAAAAATTACTGTAACTGAGAAAAGAAATTTATTTTTAAAAAAATGAATAATAAGAAATTAATTTATTGAAAATTTTGGACAATTTTATTTGGCTGAAGAAATAAAAATTTTTCTCATAGTAATTTTTTTGGTAAAAAAATTTTTTGATTTGGAAAAAAATAACTTTGGATCAAAATTTGTTTTTCAACAAAAAAGTTACTATGAAAAAAATTTTTATTTCTTCAGCTAAAAAATAAAATCATTCAAAATTTTCAACAAATTAATTTCTTATTTATAACATTGTTGATTTTTCTCAAAATACATTTTTTTCTCTTATTGCAAGGACCAGAACAATCCGCTCGTCATTACCCTGTTTAAAAATATTGATTGAAAAAAATTAAAAATGATGAAATTCGAATTTTTTTCAATAATCTCAATTCTTTTATTTGTATATATAGATATACAGTTTGCATGTAGTGACCGCTTCTCAATTCTTAATTGGTTTTTTTAAATTAAATTTTATTTTTTTTTTTACCACGGCTCTAAAAGATACTGATAATAACTATAATAATATTTATAAATGATGTTGTAACGCTGTTTATTACTTATATAATGTATAAAGAAAAGACGAAATATAAACTACCTTTTTAAAAGCAAAAAAAGAAATGAGTAGGGTATTGAAATAATAGTTGAAATAAAAATTTTTGCTATGAACAATTCCAATGTAATCTCTTAGTAGGAAAAGAGATCCGTAATGGTTGAAAAAATTTGAAAAGATTGAATAGAATTTAATTTGAATGCTATTCAGGTATAAATACATTTATTATTTAAGTGATATTCTCAAATCTCTATTCTTAATCAGGTAGTGTACTAATGAATAGATGTCTGATAATAAATAACAAATGAAGACATTTGGTCATTGAGAACTTGGAGAAGTTCTCAGTTTAGTCAAAAATTACTGCCAGCTGATTTTTTCAATTTCCAATTAAAAAAGTGGATAAACCGTACGGTTAGGATTGGCAGCAAACCATTCGCGCTTTTTTTTTTTGTAAATTTGACCAAGATCTTCAATATTTTCAAATTCTGCCAGGACTGATCGATCAGGCGGACTGATACTCGGTTTATCTGGCTTGGATAAAATTCCTACAAGCACAACTTTTTCTTTGCTGCTATATACGTGACAAAACATGAAGTTCAATATGTTGTGATATTGAGGAAAAGTTTCATCCTGCAGAAGAAATTAAACAAAATAAAATAAAATTTTTATCAATATAAATAATGATTAATTACACTTACCGTTAATGAGTACACCATCTTCAAACGTGTTTTAAATAAGTCAAAAACTCCAACTACTACTCGTTTGCCATTAAATAAGGGCATATAGCACTTTGAAAGATTCGTATCAGAAACGTTGGAAGCTAGTTTCTTCATTTGATTTGCTTCATTATAACCGAAAACTTCTTGGTAAGCCATTTGCGCAATACCTTTTATCAAATGTTTTTTTTTATCAGAAAGTACCGGTTGATCAGCAAACATTATCGCAATTTTACGCTTTTTCGGATGGTATTCACTTGTCAAATTCGCGTTGTAAAAAATGTTTTTATCTTGAACAGACGCCATGTCCGCGAATCTCAATGATCTGTGATAGAAGTCTATAGTAATAGACCAATGATCTTCTTTCGCAGCGCTGAAGTAATTTTAAATTCTAAGTAAATAATACAATAAACTCTTATAAAAATAAATAAACGTAATTTACTCACTGATAAATACACTCTGCATCTCCGATAAAAACTTGCCGGTCTATTGGTATAACTTGACAACTCACGTACTTATTATCAATATTACTCACAAAATTAACCAACCATTTATCATTAATATCAGTAATAACAGGTTTTTTTTCTAGCAATGAATTTGAATCTAATTTGTCTTCCGTGATAAGATTGCCATAGCTATGGCTCAAAAATATTGATAAAATAATAAATAATTTACTGGCCATGATTTCTCTATTTTAATAAAAATACTTCTGGCAACTGATCTGACTATTCTGATGGTCTGAAGAATACTGTACCTCCTAGTATCTCACTAAGTTTTACTGACTATTGAAAAAAACTTATATGGGCGTATTTAAGTAAGATAAAGGTACAGTAATTACCAATGAGTTCTTACCTAATGAGAACTTAATGAGCTGAACAATTATTTCATAAGAATTTTTAAATGCATTTATAAAGAATATTTAAAAGATTTATTTACATAATGTTTACATATTTTACGAATATAAAAATTTATTTACAATCAAATTAATAATGTTAACAAGAAAAAAGTTTTATTACGGATAAATAAATTCCGTATTGTTAGTAGGCTCAGGACTAGGACTGGAGCTGTTAGATGAAAGCGTTTCTTCCTTCAATTTTAAATCATTTTCTTTTTCCTTATCTTTGTTGTCTTTTTCTTTGTCCTTGTCCTTGCCTTTATCTTCTTTCTTCTTATCTTTGTCTTTCTTATCTTTGTCCTTTCCATGCTTGTGATCATGCTTATGCTTATGCTTGTGTTTGTGCTTCTTTTTATCTTTCTTTTTCTTTTTACCCTGTAACGTAATTGAGTTAATTAGTATGCTATTGATTGAAAATAATAATAATAATAATAACTAGCAACCTTGCAGTCACTATGTGACTGCCGTGACTTGAGAACTCTAAATAAATAAAATTTTGCTTTATAAAATAATGACTTTTGTTGAGTTGAACTGTACTTTCTTAACTATTGACCTTTTTAAAGGTATAAGCTCATCCCGATGTTACAATCATCAAGAGCTTTCATTTGAGTACCCACATGCATTTTCATATATTTTTCATATATACATATATAAAATATATATAAATATATGAAAAATTGATGTGGGTACTCAAATGAAAGGTCATGATGAGTGTAACACATCGGGATGAGCTTATATCTTTAAAAATGTCAATAGTTCACAAGATACAAGTAAAGAAATGATAACGGAGTGGGAAGCATATAAAGGTAGTGAGAATTTATTGAGTTAAAATAATAAAAAAAAATAGAAATAATACAGAGAGAATATGAAAAGACTGAATGTAATAAAAGTAGTGATAATAACGAGGCTGTGAGTATAGAGCGGGTGATATAGTGCGCACGCGTTCGTAAAAGATAGGATAATTTGGAGTGAGTAAAAAAAAATATATCATAAGTACAAGCAATCGAAGTAAAAATAAAAAGACAAGTGTAATTTTTTGGTGCACAACATTAATATAATTAAATAATTATAAAAAGCACTACAGTAAAAAGTAGAATCAAGTGAACCAAAGCATTGTTAGAATAAGAGAGCAAAACAGAGATATTTAAAATTTAAAAATCTTTGTAAAAACTTTGTAATACACAATTTATGCGATACAAATAAAACTTATAAATATTATGTCATATACAATAAAAAAAATCTACCTTGTTTGATTCGCCTTTAGTCTTATGATCGTCGGAGTCTTTCTTGAACATCCCCGGCTCGAAACCGACAGGTCCAGCTGGGGGAGCACCCGTTAAACCAGGAAGAGATGCTGAGTTATCACTATAATACTGAGACTTGACTTTCCCGTCTTCGGAAACTTCAGTGATTTTAGCGCGTTTGGGTTCAGGTACATTTTCTGGAGCAGAAATTCCCAAGGCGGTTTCTTTTGCCGGTGATGACTTTCTTTTAATAGACGGAATCACACTCGGAGGATCCAGTTCAACAATTTCCTGCATCGGTTTAACAGCTGGTGTTTTAACAATCCTGGACTCGTCATTCTCAGGTTCAACTTTTTTGGGCTTCAGCAGTCCGGCGAGTTCCGGAATTGGCAGACAAAGAGGTCGCTTGGATCGATACAAAGTATAATAGAGATCTACGAAATCACATCGAAGCTTAGAGTCCTGTGACAGCATTCCGTTGATAAGATTCCAGATCCTATCAACGAGTTCTGGACGATCTAGCGGGTGTTTCACAGACTTGTCAAAAGGTGGAGTCTGTACCATCAACCTCACCAGTCTGTGCCTCACTCCTGGATGCGGATCCATCTCAGCCATGTCTAAAAGGAACTCCAGGTCCTTCCACTTGCCGTCGACTCTCGTAAAGTCTACCAAAGCCTCCAAAGCAGCAATTCTCACGTCGATAAATTGCCCGTAGGATGCATAAGCTTTGAATAGAAGTGGGTTACTCGGTAAATGTCCGAACTTCTGAAGAATCCTTATCACTTTTAGGCATGAGACGGTGACGGTGTACTTGTAGCACGGTAATAATTTTTCTAGGTTCAAATGTCTCGTCACTTCCTCGAGGATTGCCTTTGTGTCGACGGATAACGACTCAGAAGTGATGGAAGCTCCTTGTTGGACACTCATCACCGGATTCACCGTCGCGCCAAGAGCCTCTATCAATGCTGCTCTGTAATAATTGTCCGAGTAGCGATTTTTACTGTTGTCATTGTACTTAAATAAGTCCATGAGAAACGCCAGGACTTCTGGAGGACAGATTCCGTGAATGTTTCGAAGACCAGCCATGGCTACAGGAATTGTTTTCTGGAGGAAGTAGTGCTGGAAGTTTGTAAAGTTGTTTTGTTTGATTATCCGCCGACAAGATGCCGAGCCGTAAAGCTTCCGGAAGATCGCGAGCATTGCTGGAGGTCCTGCCCAAGTTCCTACCATTGCGTTGGCGACCTTGGTGAGACAATGAGCTGCACGTAGTCGGATCTTGTAGTAACAATGCTCGTTTTCAATCGTGTCAGTCAACGCTAATCTGAAATAAATATCTTAGTTATAAAAAAAATTGAACTTATTTATTTGATAAACTATTATTGGATCCAACCGCAGCGGGTCTTAAAAATAATTTATCATGGCCTGTTTAAAATTGTAATTAATTATGCTTTTACTTTTGTTGTTAATGCGCTTTTATATTATTAAAATGATTGTTAAATATTGTACTCTGAAAGGATACTTAATACTCGTAATGGACAGTTAATTTTACCTAAAGTTAAGAAGACTATTAACACCAAAAATGTTTACTATGTAGCAATTAAATATTATAATAAACTACCGAATGAGTTAAAAACACTGAATGTATTTAAAAAGGTGCTAAGAAAAAAATTTTGCTAATTTATTAGAAATTTAAATTGTTAGAAATTTATGGTTTTATCTATGTTTTAGAGGTGACTGTATTGCAATTTGTGATAAAGTAAAAGCCCCAATTATTAACAAGGGTCTAAATATTGACACCTTAAATTATTTTTAAATATATTTAATTATCTGTAATTAAGAAATTGAAAAAAATTACTGTCAGTTGAAAATATTAAATATTAATTATTAAAAAAAAAATAATGTTAGCCCAGTTCATCAAACCAACTTACGAGCGTCTATTTATTAAGCAACTTTAATTGGAAAAGCATTTTTTTTAAATGCTGAGTTTAAATTAATTTCTCTATCTAATTATATGATCCTTTTTTTTTTTTTTTTTAATTAACAATAAGGTAAAGTACCCAGTGTTTGAACACTTATAAAAATGGGACCAGTACTTGAACAGACTTTTCGAATTGTTATAATATAAAATCCGTAAATTTATTATGAGTAATATGCGCATATTATAATTATTACATGATACAGTAATTGATTTCTGTAAGTTTCTTCAATTATAAATTAAAACATTCATATATTTATTAACTTAAAAGTTGACATGTCGAGAATCACCGATAGATGCTATTTTTTTCATGAAAAAGATACTAAATCTTAAACCGAACAATCAGTAAAATGTTTGATGTGATTTCACTGATTTTAATTTTAAAATGATTGATTATTAGATAATTAGAAACTAAATTTGCTGTTAAATACTTGAATTTTAATGAGTTTTACAATATTCGCTTGATGGATAAAAATGAAAAATATATTGTTTTATTGTTGACTCTCAGTTCACTAATTTTTATTTTACTTTATTAACTTTTATTTTTAACATTGTTACTTAATATGTAAAAATCGTTAATATTTATAAATACTTATTATATTAATTTTGTTATTATTTAGGTATAGCAAATAATCATTGTATAATTAACTGTTAAACAAATTTATGTAGTTAATTTTTGAATATTGCCATCTGGCCAAATTGGCTTTGGCATAATAATAATAAATTAATCTAATCTAATCTAATCTAATTTGAATTTAAAAATAGATTATTTATTATAATTTTCGTTAATTGTAGTTCCAATACAAATTTTGTACGTTATTTTATAAATATAATAAATGATTGACGGAAAATAATTAATAAATTAATGATTTTATTACTATTTTGTTCGTTTTGATGAGAAACCCCATAAGTTAATCAACTTCAAAACATTATTGTGAATAGTAGGAATTAACAATAAAATTTTTTTCATGCTCGAATATTTCTTTGAGACACTAACATTATTATTATTATTATTATTTATCATTTGTTCATGATGTTAATGCAAACTTAATCGAGAAAAATGTTTTTTGCTTCTCCTGAAAAATTTAGTATTTTTGACTTATGGGATTTCTCAAATAAACGATTCAAATAAATAAAATAAATTTTTGAATTAAACTTGAAAAATCTCAAACAAATAAAAATATAATGAGAAACAAACCTTGTAGCAGGAGTCGGATGATTTTGCAGTGCTTCGATAGCTTCAACTTGAGCAGTGACATCTCGCTCGTGCCTCAGCTGGTACTGCCACTGATAATCAGGTTGTTCTATATGAACCGCTCTCATCAAAGTAATATCCGGGTCCAGACGAATCCAGAGCACTGGAGAGTCATCCATAGCCGACAAATCCATATCAACTTCTTCTCCAGTGCAAAGAGGAATTTTTTTCTTCTTATTTCGACGACTTTTGCTGTGACAGGTTATATCAGCTTTCGCAACAGTCCCCTCAATTTGAAGTGTGTGCTTAAAAGGTCCATCCAGTTCCTGAATATTGACCAATAATGGGCCAACGTACTTTCTGATGCCTCGCTGGTTAGTCGTATCCTGTCGGATTTCAAGTTCAACCGTGTTTCGCTTGCGATTGAAGACAAAACTTAGGCTAAACTTGGCGTGTCCGCCAGTTCTCACCCACTGGTCGATGAACACAGCCATGTCCTTGCCAGTGACTGTGAAAATTGCCTTGGTAAAGACGTTGGTGCTGATCAACATCTGCGGCCAGAGACCGGACTCGATTTTCTGCTGAGCTCCGTTCGCTGCTAATGATAATTGTTTGTTAAACACCTGTAGGAGTAATTCCTGTCCAATTCGGTTCTCTAACATCCGAATCACGAGATGAGCCTTCTTTCTTAGCATCTCAATGTACTTTGGTGACATTGTGTGTAAATTACGAATTGGAAAGTAGAACCCGGGGTCAGGAACTCTTGGAGTAGGAGCTGGAGTATTTGTAGAAATAGGAAGTGGCGCTGGAGGCTGAGACGGGTCTAGAATTATTCCCCCAAACTGTTCTTCGTATTTTACGACTTCCTGAAGCTCTGAGTGGATCCAATCCCGATACTCGTTGTTTCCGAAGCATTTTTTAGCGTACAATCCTGTCAGGTATGTCGAGATGCCTTTTGGTAGCCAAAGGTCTGACCAGTTCTGCATGGAAATGAAACAACCGAAGAATTGCTCAGCTATTGCTTGAGCCATAGCTTTTTTAGTTACATAAACTTGATCGATTATCGCAGTGGAATGCAAGAGGTTTGTGTTTAAAATACTCATCGTTGCATAGGCGTTTATATCTTCATCGATTTCATCGACAAAGACTTGTTTGTAACAAGAGTACGGGTATCTGTTTGACAGCGTTTCTTCGTAGAACTCAAATGCTTCGTGCATGTACTTTGCGGAGACTTTTAGTGATGGCAGAAGATGCGGGAGACAGAAGTGGGTTACTTCATGCATGTTTGGGTCAACGTAGATTTCAAATGGTCTGCAAAATTTATATTAATTACTTATATATATGGGGAAAAAATTAATAAAATTTTGGTAAGATATTAAATATTTAAATAAGATAAGGTAAAGTACCCAGTACTTGAACACTTATAAAAATAGGACCAGTACTTGAACAGACTTTTCGAATTGTTGTAATAAAAAATCCGTATATTTATTATGAGTAATATGCGCATATTATAATTATTCAATAATACAGTAATTGATTTCTGTAAGTTTTTTCAATTGTAAATCAAAATAATTAAACTTTTGTTAATTTAAAAATTGACATGTTGAGAATAGCCGATAGATGCTATTTTTTTCATGAAAAAGCTACTAAACCATAAACCGAACAATCAATAAAAAAAAACGGTATATCATAATTTTAAGTTAAAAAAATTGTACTACCCAATGAAATAGTCTTTTCTAAATAATACATATTTTTTGCAAAGACATAAACTATAATTTTTATATTAAATTTTAGCGTTTAACTATACCTCCAAATTTTCAAAGCGGTACCCAGAACTTGAACAAGCTGGGGCCGTATAATTTTAACAACACTCTAATCTCTAATAGGTTTATAGACTAGTTATCAGCATTGTGATTTGTATTAATTACTGCAAATTAAATAATATTTATAAGTAAAAATTAGTGTAGTTAAAAATTATTGAACGTTTTGAATTGAGTTTTTTAATTTATAATTGAAAATTTGCTTTGTTATTCATAAAAAATGTAATTGAAAAGTTAAATATAAATATTTCTCATTTTTAAATAAACATGTTAAATATTCATAGTATTATTTTTGATATTAATCAATAATATGTTATAATTCTTTTGATATTTCAATAAAACGTTAAAAATTTTTGCTGTGCCTATTGCCATATATTTTATTAGTTCAACTACTGCTCCTGGACTGATCAACTACTACGGCTTGTCAGAATTGATTCAACAACTACTACTCCCCTTTCATAGTCTATCTTAAAAAAATATAAATATTCAATTATCTTTGTTATTTTGCGCTTCAATCAATTCAAAATTGTCTATATTTTCATGAAAATCACTAATTTGAACTAATAATTACATCTTTATACATTAAAAGTAGGGTCAAATACGTTTTACTTTGAAACCTGTTCAACTACTGGGTACTTTACCTTACATTAAAAATTAATGAAATTTTGGTAAAGATATTAAATATTTAACTAAGATAATAAATTTGAACATAAACTTACCCAACAGCAAGTGCAATATTAGGAGCACAGGCCGGAGTATTAAGAACGTAATGAAAAGTCTTCCTTCGCATATCCGGTGTATAAACAATTTCCACCAAATCACCGCAAGACACTGCTGTCATAGAATCATCAACCGTGAACTCCAATTTCCACGTACATGGCTCGGCAAAACTATCCACGCATGGAAACCACAGTCTCGACGAATTTTCATAGCTATATGTGTACATATGCGCGCCTCTCTAGATTAACATTTAAAAATTCCAAATTAATAAATACATTTCCAACTTAATCCAATGATTGAGATCCAATGATTAAATAACTACCTCAGCTAATGTCCCTTCACAATCAGGAAGAACGAAGTGGACTCCACCCTCGGGTTGTTCCAAGGAAAATTCAATTCCTATTCTTAAATTACGTCCTTCCGCTATTAGGTGGGCTGCTTCAGGAGGTACCTGGATGACAAGCTCGCCGTTGTTGTTGTCCGGGTCAACTCTCTGCGCTGCTGCCAGATGCATATTTGAGAAAAACTCCAACGATCTCCTGTTTTTGGAAAATTAATCAGTATATTTTTGAAAAATACTAAAGGGTCATGATAAATTGTTTTAATAATTATTATAAAAAATAACTTACTGTTTGCCATCGCCTTGACAAATATCCAAAAATGGGTCAAAGTACTGAAATGGAGCTTCAAATGTGTCGTTCAGGCACACACGGTAAATTCTACATTGCCGAGCATTTAATTTGATTATCCTTAAACTATCTTTCAGCGGGACAATTGTCAGTTCTACAAAACCCTGTTAAAATTAAATCAGAAATTGATATATTAAAATCATTTTATGTCAAATCTGGTTTTCAATTTGGGAAAAATTTTATAAAAAGTTTTCTTTTATCATAGAACAAACAAATTATAAAAATTTTTTATTTTTACAAAATAGTTTTTTTTTTTATGTTCCGTGTATTCTTTTTAAAACAAACAAAAGTTTATTTTTGTACTCATTATATTTTTTTAGATGTTTAAAATATAAAGTTGAAAAATTGGAAAATTTTCAATACATCTTTTTTCTTTGAAAAATCTCTGTTTTATAATAAATTATTATGACTTTAAAATTGGCAGACACTTGACAAATTTTTGATTATTTTTTTTTTAATATACTAGTTTTGGAAAATTATTTTTAAAAAATTGTATTTATAATTTTTAGAGCTTCTAAAGATGGAATTCCTTATGATACTGAAATTAAGAGACATCTGATAATTTTTAGAATTTTTTTAATAAATAAATTATAGGGTAAATGCACCAGTTGTTGACCGGTCACCAATTAGTTGACCGATGTATAAAAAAGTTAATTAATTAATATTTTACAAGGGTTTTTTTTTTCTTAAAGTATTAAAATAAAACAATATGGCATTTAATCATCATAATAAAAAATTACGCAATTAATTGAGCAGTGATTATAGCTTTAAAAAAATATTCTGAATTTGTTTACAACGCAACCAGCCATAAAGCGGTCAAAAATAACTAGCGTACAATTGGAGAGTGAGAGCATTTCATCATTAATTTAGTGATATTTATCGGCATAATATAAAATATTTTAGTTTTATTATGTTAATTAAAGATCAGATTCCAACTTTTTTGAAAAAATAAAGTTAAATTATAAGTTTTAATATTATTTTAAGACCGGTCAACTATTGGATCCGTCAGAAGCCCTTTACCCAGTAAAAAATTCATTCGGTCATTTATTAGACCCTCTGATTTTATCACAATCCAATTAATGACCGTATAATTATAATACTAACTTCTTAACTCCAAAATTAAATCTGTCAAGTGTTTAAAGTACTTTAGTCATTCAATATTTTGTAAATATAAAAACAATCATTATAAAATGTATATTTATAATTAAAATAATACTTAAAATCTTTTTTGATTATTAAATTTTATTTTGTTCTAATTTTTTTAGTGAACGGTTATATCAAAGAACGAATCATTAGAAAAAAAAATTGCTAAGCAATTAAAAAAATAAAAAAGAGTTACAAGCTAGTAAAAAAGCTTTAATTGAAAAAAAGAAGAAGAATAAAAAAATTTCAAGTTAATCAGAAGAATTATCGTCATTAAAATGAATTTTTGATTATTTATGACCTAAAGAAATGTGACTTTATGTTAATTATTGATATTATTTTATAAAAAAGTACGATTTAAAATTATATTATATGTTTAGTTTTGTTAAAGATGTCATTAATACTTCAAAAGTACTGCATAAATTTAATTACATAAATGTAGTTTACAAAATTACTTATAATATAATTATTTGAGCGGTCAATTAATTGGAGAACGATCGGTCATTATTTTCTAGACCTAGTATATTTCTCAAGAAAAACCAAAAAATTGTCAAATGTCTGCTAATTTCAGTGACATAATTTCTTTAATAAATTGGTCTTGCTATAATTTATTTTTTAAAAAATTTATAAAATTGATCAGATGTCTTAATTTCAGTATCATAAGAAATTCTATCTTTAGAAGCTCTAAAAATTATAAATGAAATTTTTTAAAAATAATTTTCCAGACTTAGTATATTGTAAAAAAAATCAAAAATCTGTCAAGTTTCTGCTAATTTCAATGTCATATTAATTCATTATTTATATTAATAATTATTATTTATAATAATAATTTATTTAATAAAAAAAAAAAAAAAAAAAAAACTTTAATAAAATCTTAAAAATTTAATAAAATTATTGATTACTTACAATGATACTTTTTCGCTGGAAACTTATACCGGTCAGACTCAAAATTTGGTGAGCTGTAAAATATCAATATTAAATTAATTTTCATTGCAATTATAAATTGCAATTTACTTGTAATAAAAATAATTTTATGACTTAAAATAATATACTAAAAAGATACTTATAATTTAAAAGGCCGACAATTATCGGCAGTCCGCTCCTTCTTCATTTTTCAATCAATTCTTTATTTATTTCATAAAAAATAAGTAATTCTTATAATTACTTTATAACAACAATTTAGAGTTTTTAGGTTAAGATTATAAGTACACTCAGCTCAGCCTAATTAAAGTATGTAACGTCCTCACTTCACTTATTTATATATCATTCAACGCTACCCCCACTTGTTTATGTTTCTATCATTTCTATCACAGTTTAAAAGCACAGTGACAAGCCACAGCAAAAATTCTTACCGCGTAGCAAAATAATTCCTTCCACTATAAATACACAGTGCAAATTGCGAGTTTGCCATCTTCTGCCACCATTATTCATTTCCCATCAACAAATAATAACATTTACGCATGCGCTAACAATTGAACTTAAAAGTACTTCACTCCGCAATGTAGTTGTTAAGGGGTACTACACTATATACTAATAATGATAATAATATTGCAAGAATAATTCGTGTTTGATAATATTTATTCACTTATTTATTACATAAAAAACTTAGCGTCTCTCCTTATAATTAGTCAGATCACAATTGATAATATAATAATAATAATAATACTGCACAGTCACGCCACAGCTATGGCGTGCAGAAAGGCGGGATTATTTGAATTTGTGTGGGACTGTTTATTGTAGAGAGAGAGAGAGTTTCCCGCTCCGACGATTGGCGCTTTGGTAGATTTGTTTTGACTTCTGGTCGCTGGGAGCGCGACCGAGGCGATTAGAAGTTTCTTTTCCTGACTGCGCGACCGAGAAGATTAGAAGTTTCTTTTCCTGACTGTCCTTCGTTGTGAACGGACACGATGGATTTTAGTAATAAAATGCAAAAGTTAAAACCGTTTGCCGGAAAAATAATTTTAAATCAATGGAATAAATTATTTAAAAATAATAAATTAAAATTTTTAAATGTTACATTTTATGGGTGAATTAAAAAATTAAAAAATCACAATACATCATGTTATAAAAAGGTACGTAATTTAATGTTAAGCCACTGTTGAATTAACAATCATTGATCTTTTCTAAAAATTAAAATTATATTTCAAATTAGCAATAATTAATCTTGCAGAATTTAACTAGCGTTTTATGTTTTTATAAATTTTTATTATGATGACTATCAACCGAATCACTTATGAATCCTGATTATTGGATATACATGCACTACCAGCTGAGGCTATTTAATAATTAATTAAAAATTAATATTAATTATAAAATATTTTTAACACAAATTTATTTGTTACAGAATCAGAATTACTCAAATGTAATGTGAGCTCACTTGAAAAAACGTGGGCAAGATTTCCATTTTTAACCATGTGGTAAGTTGATAAAATTTATTTGAATTAGCAAGCTTTTAAAATGGTAAATTTATGATACTGAATTCAGCAGATACTTGTCAATTTTTTAATTAAATGAAAACTAAAAAAATTGCATTTAGAGTTTTTCAAAATTTTTTAATGTTAATTTTTTATAAAAATCTTTTTTTAAATCATTTTTTCAATTAAAAAAAATAATAAAAATTATTAGATTACTGCTGAATTCATTTTCATATAAATTTGGTACCATTGATGCGATTAGATTTAAATTTATTATGATGACTATTAACCGAATCACTTATGAGTCCTGATTATTGGAAAAACATGCACTACCAGCTGAGGCTTTTGTTTAATTTATTTTTATTTATATTATTTAAAGAACATTTAAATAAAAATTTCTTTACTTTTGTTTTAGAAAAAGATTCTGAAGTGTTAAAATGGAGCAACAATGAAGAAGCAAAAAATCACATGGTAAGTTGTAAAGTTTTTAGTTATTTTTTTTTATTAAAGTAATATTTTAATTTGTTATGATGACTATTAACCGAATCACTTATGAGTCCTGATTATTCGAAATACATGCACTACCAGCTGAGACAATTTAATAATTAATATAAATTTGTCTTATTGTAATAAGTTTTACTAACTAAGTATTTTATTCAATGTTTCAGATTTATGTAATGATTTGAGTGAAAATTTTATCCCTCAATGATTTATCCTGATCTGCAAATCTACAAATCCGAGTGAATTAAATGGTGAGTTAAAAAATATTCAATTTATATCAGCTTTTCATTTTATTAAAGAGTTTAGTGGAAATAGTAGTAAAGGACAAAAAAATATAAACTAAAATTAAATTTAAAGTTGAAAAATTTTGTAAAATTATGAAATTTTAAATTATGATTCTGTAAAAGTTTCAGGCGTTTTTTCCAAAATTATTGAATTAAATTATCGGTAAATGTTTTCAAGTCAGGTCAACTATTTTTAACGAAATTTCTATTTGATTTTATTGATATATTTTTTTCTAAATACGTAAAAAAAGATGACACTGAAGTTAGCAGACGTCTAAAAATTTTTGATTTTTTTTTTTTAAATTAAATTACAACTAAAAAAAATTTCTAAAAAATTGCACTTGAAGTTTTTCAAGTTTTTTTACATGTGAAATTTTTTTTTTAATTATTTAATTGAAATTTCTTCAATAAAAAATTTAAAAAAATTTTGAAATGTCAGCTAACTTCATTTTCATAAAAAAAGAACAATTTGAAAACAAGAAAAAAAAATATATCAAAAAAAATAATATAGAAATTTTATCCAACTTTTGAACTCAAAAAAGCTATCGAAATCTTTATTTTTTTCTTTCACATTTTTTATCATAAATGCGCCGTAAAAACAAACAGAATTTAAAAAAAATTTTTTAAATGTTTATTTTTTTACCTAGATATGGCCAAAAATAGGGTTGACCCGCTTGTAAATAATTACCAAATTGTCAATTTGGTGAAATGTATAAGCTATAGATTTATTCACTTTTCAAAATTAAAATTCAACGAGTGAGTTTTTTTTTTTTTGTCTTAAATTATTAAAAATGATTTAAACTTTTATATTTTTATAAATTTCAATTATATTAAAATTTCATTAAAATCTCATTCTTATGATGACTATCAACCGAATCACTAATGACTCCTGATTATTTGGTAAACATGCACTACCAGCTGATGTTAAACTTTTTCTTTTATTAATTATTAATTAACATAATTTTTTATTAAACAAAGATTTTTTTATTGCAGTTACAAAATGGCCGTAGATGAAGATTATCAACTTTTCTTCAAACCAAAAAAAGTCGCTACCATAAAAAATGATTCCCATCTTTTTCTCTCCTCGCAATCATCGAAAGAAACTCTTAAAAAATAGAAAAAATTTTCTTTTTATTTGTGTACATACCTTATTAAAAAAAAAATTATTAAACAAATAAATAAATAAAAACTGAAATAGTTTGTATGAGAAAATTTTTTATTAAATATCATTTGATAATCAGATATAAATTCACCGATCAATAAATTTAATGTGTAAAATTTAGCAGAGAAATATTTAAATCGTTGAGCATTCAATAACTGAAATTAAATAATAAATACATAGTTTAATAATTACGGAAAAAATATCTATTGTCTACTAGCCTTTAAATAGTACAGTACAAAAGAAAAAAAATAATATGACTAATTGTACAATTCTACAATGTTAAAGTTAACAAATTTTGTTAGTGGTAAACCCGGGCAGATAAAAAAAATACAATTTAACTTGATCACTGCTGGGTAACTGACGTTATACTCTATCAATCTATCACATAATATATTTACCAATAAACTTATTTTACATAATAATATTTTTATTAAATAGGCTTTTATACGTCTCGTTAACTCGACAGTAATCAATATTAATATTTTTTCTGTTAAGTATTCTCTTTGTTCCCATAAAGAAGCTATTTTCAAAATGACAAATTAACTATGGCTACTACCAAAAAAATATTAGTCTCTCTATTAAAAAAAAAAAAAAAAAAAAAAAAAAAAAAAATTTAATCAAATATTGAAAATTTATAACTCTTATAAAATGTAAAAATTACAAACATTTTATAATACTTTTCTTAAATATTAAATCTACCAAGGCTGAAAAATGTCAACCTTTAGAATGCCAACGATGCCCTCAATATATTTTTATAAAATAATAATCTACTTTTGCTTAAATTAACTTTAATTAGATTTATAAATTTATCGAACATACACTTTAAATACTTTTAAGAAAAAAAATTACTGATGATGGCACCTGTTAGGCAAACATTTGAACATTATATAAAACAATTTTTTTATTATATACTATCTTGCATTAATTTAACTTTATATGATATGCAATAATTATCCTTCCAATATATATATAACATACTCTTTAATATTAATTTGATTAACATACCAATTACAATGAATAAATTAATTTTCTTTGGCGAGGCCCTAACTGTCCTCTAAATTTAGTGTATCTTACACGCCTTAACTTATATTCTTCCGACCAACAATCGAAATATTTATTACAATATTTATAATAAAACATTTTACGTAAATATTTAAGAGGCACGAGATTCTTCACAGAAAATTAATTATACGCTTTCAGGTATTGCGTTCAATAATAAAAAAAATCTATTGAGATTCGTATTTTATAAAATAAAATACTCTGTCGATTAAGCACCAAATGTCCAGCTGATTAATTAATTAATTAATCAATTAAAACAACAGATAGTAACACACTGATAGAAGGATTTATTAACTATTTATAATTTAATTTATTTGAAGACAATTATTTAATTTTAATAAATATTTTTTAACATTCAATAAATATTTATTTGAGAGGAAAGTACCTTAATTAATAGTTAACAAATATTTATTAACAGTTAATAAATATTTTGAGTGAATTTATTTCGCTTGCAATGTTATTTGATATCAAGATTGCTTATAAACAAAAATGATTTTTATAAATTATTTGCATTGATTATATTACACTAGCAACCTTATAGTTACTATGTTTCTGCCGTGACTTGTGAATTATGAATAAATAAAATTTTGCTGAATTAAAAAATGACTTTTGTTAAATTGCTCTGTACTTTCTTAACTATTGACGATTTTGAAGATATAAGCTCATTTCGATGTTACACTCATCAAGAGCTTTCATTTGAGTACCCACACGCATTTTGATATATTTTTTATATATTCATATATA